AGGATGCGGAGTACTTCAAGTTTTTCGCTATGTTGATTGTGTATGATTTCTTTGAGGTGTCGTTGATGATTGTAATACGTGATATTATCGATATTTGTGGATTCATTAAAGTGTATAAATTTAGGGCCTGATATATGCATGTTGTTCCAAGTATGCTGGTAATCTGTCAAAATGTATCCATTCTCTAGGATGCGAAGTGGAGCATTATTTTACCATGCTTATGTGCTAAAGGATATACATTAAATAGGCTACATTTAGTTTCAAGGATGGGATATTTGTATATGGTTATAATAGCTTGTTGTAGGTAACAGATATGAATGTCGGCGTATTCTAATATATTAATTATTGGAAGATCCAACTTTTCATGGTTTATAATATCGTACACATCTTTCAAATTTAATGTGCCAGAATAAAAATTATTCGTTTTCGCAAAATTTATAGTGTTCGTTATTGACTGGAGTTCATTATAAACTTCTGATATAACAATGTTTTCGGTTATTGCTTTGGGATCAAGGGTTTCGAGTATTCTTTCGAATTGTGAATTAATTATTTTTTGCTTATTATTATTTTCTATTAGTATATTAAGTGAAGTTTTGATTTCTACAAGGTCATCGTGGTCTGGTGTGCCAGTGATGAATTTTAACACGGAGCCAAGAAAGTTAAGTGATCTTTTGGGTCTATAAATATTTGGAATGAGTTGACTTTTCAGAGTTTCGATTTTGTTCGCTATAATTTGAGTTTCGGGTTGGTTTTCTAGATTGTATGATGATTTCATTATACTTTCGTATGGCGCGATTATTTTTGAAAGATTAGATATGTGATACAAGAAAGCTGTATCCTGATAATTGTAAACAGGATCTGTTTCTACTAGTACATATTTCCTATTGGTTAAATCTATTATATTGTCTCAGAGTGCGATAGAGAAAAGTAAGGTAAATACTATGCCGTACATGCCTTTACTCTGATATTGTCCTTGTGGATAATGACTCTTTTATTGGTCGTTATTGTTTCTCCGTTGTCTTTTTTGACTGTATGTTTCGCGTATTTTTTTACGTTTTTGTTGCGTCTATGCGTTTTTGAATATATTACGTCTCCTTCTTTGTAGTTCAGCTGTTTGCGATTGCGGTTGTGGTATCGCAAAACCCTCTCTTTGTTGAAGACACTCTTTGATGTCAGGATACCCCCTTTGATTGAAGAACACGTCCTCGGGTTTCTCGTTGGTCACAAAAGGGATTGTCTTGTTGTATTTTCGGACTGCTTCGAATATCTGTTCGTCAGGTGCTGAACTGTGTTGGTGTGCCAAATCTTTCGCCAGTTCGATTATCGTGCTATGCGTTCGTTCAACTTGACCGTTTGTTGTCGAATGATAGGCTGGAGTTTTGGTACGCGTTATTTGTAGTCGCTTGTATATTTGTTGTGCAGATATGCCAGTAAATTTTGACTCGTTATCAGTCATTACAAACTTTGCATTTGGGTATATTTGTGATAGTATCTCGTCAACGTATTTGTATGTGTCCTTCTTTGATGGTATTTGTCTCAAATGGCAGAATTTTAAGTACTTGTCGGTTATTGCTCATAAAAAATAAGTCTAAGTGTATGTATTCGCGTACCTTGTCCGGTATTGGTCGGCGTTCATACTTGTTTGTGAGGCAGATTTCGCAGCCCTGTACTTCTTTTTTACAAGCGTCACGTATGTTTGGCCAGTAGTATCTGAGCGAAATTTCCTGTGCGTTATTTTTTGTAGTTTCTGTGAGCACGTCTGTGTGTGTCTTGTATGATTTGTTCTTGCTTTGTTTTTGCGCTAGTACAATCGATACAGTTGGAAATGTGTCGATAATGTCGTTTTCGACGTTTAGTTACATTTGGTCTAATTATATTTTTTAGTCTGTCTAGCAATTCAGTTTTGGTGTTAAAAAAAAGCGTATGTCGGCTGTTAGAAAATGTGTTTTGTGAGGATATTTCGACGGGGTTCTGATATGACTGTTTTACAATAATTTGATTTCTAAAGGAGTTGAATGGTTGCTTTACTCGTTTGAGTTTTTGTGTTGGGGAGCTTTGTGCTGAATGTTGGGAGTCTTCAGAATTTACAGTGTTGTTTATTTGCTGGCGAGAAAGTGCATCAGCGACAACGTTCTGATATCCGGGTTTGTAAACGAGTTTTGCACCATATTCTTCAATGAAATTTTTCCATCTTTGTAATTTTGTATTGGGGTTTTTCTGATATGGAGAAGATTAAAGATCGATGGTCAGTGTAGATTGTTAAATCTGCTATACCACACAAGTAATTACGTAGTTTCTGTAGTTACCACACAATTGCGAGTAACTCTTTCTCATTTGTGGAGTAATTTTGTTCTGTTTCGCTGAGCGTTCGTGAAGTAAATGATATGGGTTTTTGGTCTTAAGACAATACGGCTCCTATAGCGTAATTGCTAGCATCTGTGGTTAATTCGAAAGGTTTGTTAAAGTTTGGTTGGAAGAGTTCAACCTGTGCTTGCAGTTCTCTTTTATTTTATTCAGTGCTTCTAGTGCAGGTTCGTCTAAGGTGATATTTATTTTTGCGCTTTGATTCATTGATATGCCACCGTTCTCACCTCTGAGGAACGTAGTGAGTGTTTTGCAAAAATCTGTGTAAAAATCTGCAAAATTCTGTATAAATTTTCTATAATAACTAGCGAGACCTAGGAAGGATCTGAGTTCCTTCAGTGTTGTGGGGAATTTTTAATAGTCTGTATTTTTGTAGGGTCAACTGTGATCCTGTTGTATTTAATTATTTGCCCTAAGTATTAAACAGAGTCTTGGAAAAAGTAAGATTTTTTGTTGGAGATCTTCATGTTGGCCTGGTGAAGCGTGTTTATGATTATTCGGATGTGTTCGATATGTTCTTCAGGAGAGGAAGAATAAATAAGAACATCGTCTATATAAACGTATGCGAACTTGCCGATATATGGTCTTAGAATATCGTCTACACATGTTTGAAAAATTGATGGAGCGTTTTTTAAACCGAACGGCATACGAAGGAATTCGTATTTAGCTCCATTTACACTAAAGGCGGGTTTTTCCTTGTCACACTCTTTAATAAGGATCTGATGGAAGCCAGACTCTAAATCTAAAGTTGTAAACACTTTTGCTTGACCTAAATTCTGTATGGTCATAGCCACATCAGGTATGGGGTATCTATCTGTAATAGTTTGAGCGTTTAGCTTCTGAAAGTCTACGACCATTCTACGCTTAGGTTTCCCTTGTTCATCGGTACCTTTTTAGCGACTGTCCAAATGTGAGAGTTGTACGGACTTTTGCTGGGTTGTATTATTTCATTTTCTAAAAGTTTGTTAATTTCTTTGTTAATGAAGTCGTTATCCGACATAGGATACGGATATTGCTTGGTCCAAATAGGATCTTCGGATTTCGTTCTAATGGTACCTTGTACCGCGATAGTATATGGTAGCACTTCGTTTGTGCTTTCATTTTTTGCATAATTTCTTCGATTTCGGCCCTATATTTTTCACTATTAACCGTATAATTTATTTTTTGCACAGATTCGCTTTCTTTCTTGGCCCTATATTTATAACTGAGCTTGTACTCGAAAAGGTTGATATCTGCTTTGATTTTTCTTAGTCCCTGTGTACCGAAAAGCATATCAAATTCTTCTAATGCATCTGTTTCAAAAAATGTGAGATTATGTTCTAACAATGTTATTATTATTTTTTGATTTGGTTATTGAGTAACCATGAAGAGTTTTCACTTTTACAGGTTTAATTGGAATAGGCTTACCGATGTTGCATTTTGTACTTACACAATTGTTTGTTGCTCCAATGTCGATCAGGATGTTAATAAGTTTGCCTGTATCCCTGCAGTGGCGTTGCCGACACGGTAAATCGGTCAAGCGCCTAAAAAAGCACTGCCTGTTTCATATTCATCATTTTCATAGTCTGGTGCAAGCGATTTTAGTTCTTCGTCGCGTGTTTGGTTTACACGTTGTACTTTCTGTTGTATGTTGAAATTACGAGATGAACGATTTCGTTCTCTTTTTTGAGGATCTCCACGAAATGGATTATTTGGCGGTAGTCCTTGCATTTGACGGTCATAGCTGTTTTGTTGTGGTGCGGAATGATTCCTATTATAATTTGCGGATCTCGTGTATTGCTGTGATGGGTCTACGTCCAATGGTTGGTGCTGTTGCCTGGGTGCAGTGTGATTGTTTTGCACCTTCACGTTAGGTCTGTACATTTGTGGTTCCTCGTGATATCTTCTGCTTGGGTTTTGATACTGCGATGTATTATACTGTCTGTACTGACTGTATTGCGGAACGTCGAATTGTGAGTTCACATTATCATGGTATATCGTACTTGCGATAGCGTAAGCGGTTTCTAAGTCCTTCGGATTGTGGCTATAGAGGGTGCCGCTGGTATATTTGCTGTTTAGACCGAGAATGAATGTCCTTACAGCTTCCTGGTTCGCATATTCTTTCATAGCTGAGGGATTTCCTGAACTATCCATCTCAACTTTAGTGAGTGCAAGATTAAGTGACTTGCTGACTTCGCAATGGAACTCTGCCAACGGGTTTTTTTCCCTGCTTTATACTCTTCATTCCGCATAAGTATAATCGAGACGGTTTATTATAGAATAGAAGTTGAATTTAGTGTTGTGGTTTATTAAAATATCGGCCGCTTCTCCTTGAATTTTCGAATGTACAATGAGAGTGCCGTGTAATACGTGGGTGTAGTAGCGTAATTCTTGATGTTTTCCATGTGTGTCCAGGCACGTTTTCTCCATGGCCTATAATGGTTCATGTCACCTGTGAAGATTGATAATGTTTTGAATATTTCTAAGTTGGTTTGTGACGCATCGGTGATATTAGAGGTACAGTCCTGGTATTGGTTGGTGACTGTGACGTTAGGTGTTGCGTAGGTTTCGAAGGAATTCATTCTCTGTTGGGTTTCAGTGAGCGTTGTGGTCAGAGCAGCGATTTGTGCTCTCAGGCTTGCGATATCTTGTGTTGTCATTTCGGAGTTTATGTCCAACGATGGACGTGATAAGTCGAAAAACTTTTGCCGTTTTATTCGTAATACCAGTGTGGTGTTCGTTGGTTTCTTTTATTCCATTTTTCAGGAATCTGTTTGTCACAGGATTTGATTGCTGTCCGCTATTTCAGGATCTGCTTCAGAATCTTTGTGATGGTGGAAGTCTTACTTCCCGTGGAATTTTTCCTATCCTTTTCCTCAATGGATAGTGATGGCTTAAAGGTTTGGTTGAGCCCCCAGTTAATATCGCTTTACGATATGAGACTAAAAAACATATATTTATTTACTACGCTGACGTGCGTGTTCTTTAATTATATTCTTTAGACTAACTTGTTTACATAAATCTTAGTGCTACTTATACTATTGAGATGCGTCGGTTGTTATCGCAATAACTATTGAGATGCCTGTTGTTTACTGTTTACTAGTAGATAACTATTTGGGTTGTTATTGTTTGTTGTAGTGATAGTGCATTTCTATTGTTCCAATGCTTGTCCGTTGCAGTTCGTGGTAATGCATGTCAAAACAAGTTCTATTGTTTTGATGTTGTTTACAAGTAAGCTCTTATGATGGTGTACGTGACCTGTAAGGAGGCTATGTCGTTAACTCGTTCCCCTAAAGGAGCGCAGGCACTCAATACAAAGCGCAAGCAAAAGAAATGCATATTTGACAATTACTTCATACAGCCCAAAAAGCAAAACCAGCAACAACAACGCTAAAGAAAACTCTTACGCACGGTGCAAATTAGAGCGATACGATATGCGATGCGATATGAAATACGGGCAGTGCACATTAGGGCGATGCGATACGCGATGCGACATGCGATGCGACACGCGATACCATTTTGTGATAGCTACACAAACTTTTGTGCCCTTATAAGCTTGTTAATAAGTTAAATGAGTTGCTTCTTAACCGAGTTTAGACTTTTCGAATGATGGGTCCATGTTTATACCTATAAACTTTAAAAAAAAATTAAGAGAAAAGTGTGTTTAATATCGAGTAAAACTGTTGTTTATTTTTACAAAGTCGGCTAAAAATTAAATGAGATATTCAAATTTTCATGACAAATTAATTCAGAATATTGCGTTCACTATAAGGAGAAATCGGTGAAAACTGAATTAATAAAAGGGTTAAGCAACAATTTTTGAGTTGTATAGCCAAAAATATTCTTTTTCTTATGAAAGGCTGAATAACTTTCCCCCGATTTTTTAAAGTAAAAATTACTATATATTAAATGTTAATTTTGCATCAATTCAGGAGTAGTATAGTAGCTTTATAAAAAGTGCGTGAAAACTTTGCCAAATTTGAAAAAGACGAAAAAATGAACACAGAAAGTTTTCTAAAAGTTTATATACATATCGAGCCCCAACCGCCAAAATAACGTAAGCGACATTTTTTTCAAAATTTTCTTTTTGATGCAGAAATGTATCTAGAGTCTCTAGGAATATTCCTGCATTAAAAAGAAAATTTTGAAAAAAATGTCGCTTACGTTATTTTGGCGGTTAGGGCTCGATATGTGTATCATTCGAAAGCTCTAATCTCGGTATATGGTCAACTGAGTTACAAGCTTATAAGTACGGAAAACCGGTTTTTTAACAGTAAATCAAGATTGTGTGGGTGTGTGACAAAAATTTTCTATCTCGATTCTTACTTCACTCGGCAAAACCTACCTGAAAAATAACATGACTTACCAGGTATTTTTACTTCATTATTTTTTGTAGCATTGGGTTATGGAGCACACAAATTTGTACTTTCTCTGTTTAATTTAGAAATTTATTAAATACTAGCTATACCCTGCCACGCTTTGCTGTGGCATATTCCTGTTACATGGATGATAAATTATTAACGAAGCAAAGCATACGTTTCATATGAGTTTGATTTTGTAATAAGTACTTGTGTGCACACAATATTCGTCGTGTTTCCATTCTCTGCATTGATACGAATATACTATATACTTACTTATATATACTTACGAATATTCTCCAGCACCTCGGATCTCACCATTTGTAACTTATCTTCTCTTGCTACATCTTCACCGATTTCTAG